ATATATATATATATATATATATATATATATATATATTCCTACTTTACAGTTTTTCACTTATCTTGTCTTCAGGGTACAGATCCCCTGCGGTAAACAAGGGACTACTGTATACGCTCAATTCAAACTGTGTGTCTGTGTGTGTGCACTTACTTTCAGAGGTGTGTTTAAAACTGAGCCCCATAACTTCTCTCTGAGAAGCCATCATGGTGTCCAGAAGAGGAAACCACAGATCCTGTAAGCAGAAGCAAACAATTAATTATGAGACAGATTCCTGCTGTATAACACAAACACACACACGTGCACACATTTGTCTTTCTATCTTTACAGGGACTTTGCATTGACTTCCATTCATTTTTCATTCATTTGTATAGCCTAAACTTAACCCATCCTCAATGCACACCTTAGTCCTAAACCTAACCCCTAACTCACCAATGACACTTCTTCTTATGGGCTTTGAGCACTATAAGGAGCAATTGGTCCTCACAATGTAGTATAGGTTGGAAAAATGGACCGTACAAAGTAACATAAACAAATACACACACACACAGAACTAACTTACTTTTCTCTGTTCCTGGTCAAGTTTCTGACAGTTTCGATGACATAAAGAAATGATGTTATTCAGTGAATCATTGACTCTCGTCAGCTTTACATCACTATCTGTTTCCTCTTCGTTCAGTCTTTCTGCTCCTCCTCCTTCACTCTCATCAGCGATGGCAGACAGCCTTTCTTTCAGGGTCTTTACAGAGAAGGTTAAAAAAAGTAATAAAACCTATAAAGAACACCAGCTGCTGAAAGTGTTAACTTTAAGTACTTGAATGTTGTATGGATTTTCATTTTGTTTCAGTTTAGACCTATATTTCACATATGAAGCTACTAAAGTTTATTCATGTTGCGGTACATTTAAATCATGAATATGGCTGTAGCTGCATCTTTACGCCTGTTATTTATATGTCAGTGTGGAAAAATTGTTAACTAGTTTTTTAATTAATCCAGTAAAGAGCTACTCTGGGAGGTTTTCTACCTGCAGCAAGTCATCAAATGCTCCATGAATATCTCCCTTCTTCTCCAGCAGGTAGGCTGTAGCCTCATTACAGTGGTATTTCTTTGTAATCTATAAAGCAAAAGAGATCAGTAAAAAACATCACATCATACTACATATTAAAACATTTAAAGATGTTAACAAAAATAAGGACAAGGTGAAGAGTGACAAAACTAACTGTAGCCTGAAATCTACAGATACACAAGATCACTACTCGGAGCTGATTAACAAGTTCAATTAAGGGTATTGATTGTGTTAAAAAAAAAGTGTTGTAAGCTCAATCATCCAGGTATTCAGGTATTCATAGCAATGAAGGCTACTTAAGGGACAGATCTGGTTGGCAGGCTGAAGACTGACCAAGTCCTCTGGATGGGGGACGAAACATTTCTTCACTTAAACAGGTCCAGATGACATAATTTAACCATTTTTGCTACTGATTGTGTAATTTCATTGGGTTTCAGCAGTGAGCGGGGAATATTAGGCTGCGAGTAAAGAGTCTAAATTCTGATGAGTTACAAGCAGGAAAAAATGGTGACTAAGCAGTAGATTGTAAAAGTTTTCACCCCTCTTGACATTTTCTCTTTGCATCTTTAAAATCTGTAATTTTTAAGGAATCTGGGGAAGTCTTTTAATTTATAAAATAACTACAAAACCCACTATTACCACTATTACCACTATTCTGCTCCGCTCCTGTATCCTGGAACACCTTGCAAAAAGATCTGAAGGTCTCGACCTTGACCTCTCTAAGGGACTTTAAACGTATGGACTGAAGTACACTTTATATCTCCTTTCTATCGTACCAAGCTCTTTACAACACAATCTGTATCCTCATTTACCCATTCATACATACAGCACTCTACTAGATCTAGACAAAGACTAATCAGAGCTTTATCACATTCATACACCAATGGGACACACATCAGAGGCAATGAGGGGTTCAGTGTCTTGCCCAGGGACACTTCAGCATGTGACTGCTGGTGGAATCGAACCCCCAACTCTTGCATTCGAGGACGACTGTTCTAACCACTCAGCCGTAGCTGCCCACATATTGTGTATGGTTTTTGTACTACTAGTGCTTAGCATATTTTTTGGTAAACATTTTTCTTAGTTCATATCTTAGATCTTATTACTGTTTTTCTTTACAATTTATACTTTTGTTGGATGTAACTGGGACCATGTGTACACAGTTTTGTTCCACCACATGTGCCACATGTGGTGCGAAGAGCAAAGAAACTGACTTTTGACTTTGATTAAACATCTGCTAAGTTCATGGCAAAAACCAATGCAGACATGTTCCTGTTTTTAGTATCTTACATCGCTTTATAATGTAGCTGATTTTGTTTAGTTTTTATTTCATTTCTTCTATTTTTTATTTGATATACTTTTTCTATGATTGTTTATTGTTGTCTGTACCTCATCTGTGTTCTTTGTTAAAATCATGTCTCTCTTGTAAATGAGTTCTTGACGCTCAATGAGACTAACCTGTAGAAATAAAGGTTGAATATAAAGGTATAAAATATTTTTATTGTTTGCGTTCAACAATCTTGTTGCTACATACATACATGTCTTCAATTTGTACTGCATTTTACATTTTACAATCTCAAAGTGCTAAAATATAAAATATCTAAAGACAATAAAATATGTACTAAAATAGGACTAAAAAATTTTAAAAGCTAAAAAAAAAAACCCTGCAAGATTAAAATACTTTTAAACACTATAAAATCTTTTGAATAAAAAGGTCTTCAGTCCTTTCTTAAAACTTTCTGTAGTCTGGGGTATCCTTAGATGGTCAGGGAGGTTGTTCCACAGATGAGGAGCAGCAGAGCAAAAGGCCCTGTCACCCATGGTGCACAGTTTTGTCCGGGGAGGGTGGAGCTTTTAGGAATTTGTGGAGCGGAGGGACCGTGTTGATGTCTGAGTAGTGAGCAGTTCTTTAAGATAGTGTGGAGCATTGCCGTGAATGGATTGGTGGGTGAGTAAGGAAACTTTGTATTCAATACGGAGCGAAATGGGAAGCCAGTGCAGGGATTTAAGGATTGGGGTGATGTGATCATGTTTCCTTTGCTTCATCAGAATCCTGACTGCACTGTTCTGTACATATTGAAGTTTTTGAATGTGCTTGGATGGAATTCCATAAAAAAGTGTATTGCAGTAATCCAGTCTTGAGGAAACGAAAGCATGGACAAGTTTTTCAGCATCGGAAAAGGAGAGTATTGGACGGAGTTTGGAGATGTTTTTCAGATGAAAGAATGAAGTCTTGCAAGTATTTTTGATATGGGATTCAAATGTAAGATGAGAATCAAATCTTACCCAAAATTAGTCACTGTATCGGCAAAAGGAATGTTTTGGTCAGAGAAGATTATTGTAGAGATAGATGTTGAGTGAGTCTGATGTGGGGTACCAACCAAAATAGCTTCTGTTTTTGATGTGTTTAATTGGAGAAAGTTGGCATTCATCCAGGCTTTTACCTCTTCAAGACAGGTAGTGAGAGAGGAGAGTGATGAACCTGTAGAATCTATTTTGATATAGAGCTGCAAGTCATCTGCATAACAATGAAAGAGATCCTGTGATGAATGATAATGTGACCGAGGGGGAGGATGTAGAGGGTAAATAATGTGGGCTCAAGGATTGACCCCTGAGGAACACCACAAGTGACTGTGTGAGTCCAAGATCTTGCTTCCTCAATGGAAACATACTCAAATCTGTCAGAGAAGTAAGAGCGGAACCATTCCAGTGCTGTCTCAGTCAGTCCAACAGTGTGTTGTAGGCGGTGGAGAAGGATGCCATGATCCACAGTATCAAAAGCTGGGCTCAAGACCAGGAGGATCAGAAGGGAGGGAGAACCAGCATCAGCTGCCATCAGAAGATCATTTGTGAACCTGACCAGAGCTGTTTCTGTGCTATGAGCTGAATGAAAGCTGGACTGGAATACCTCATAGATATTATTAGTGGTGAGGTGGTCATGTAGACGGGCTGCCACAATTTTTTCCAGCACTTTGGACAAAAATGGACGGGGGGCAACAGGTCTATAGTTGACATGATGGGCTGGATTCAAGGTGGGCTTTTTAAGAAGAGGTTTGATGATTGCTATTTTCAAGGTAGGTGGGACAAAACCAGTTTGGATGGAGAGGTTCCTTGATCTTCATGCTGTCTCTTGTTTGGCAGTATAGACAGTAAATACAGCATGCATGACATTTATGCACTTTAGATAAATATTTACAAGAATATCCCAAGTTACTTTAATTAATCCTCAGTATTTTGTAAAGGTCCGTTACTTAAAATCAAATTGAAAATCTTTTTACACCAGGTTGTAAGGCAATAACACAATAACATAAAAATGGCTAAATACTTTTACAAGTCAGTATGGACTTTAATACATTACACCATTGTTGATGTGACAATTTCATTTCAAATAGGTACAAATATAAAAAAATTACTTGTATGGCTTCCTCTAGTCTGTAGTGTTGGGAGGTCTGGAGAAAGACCAGGAGTTGTTCGGGAGCATATTGGCACATCAAGTCGAGCAGAAGTTCATGGAGTTCAGAGTCCAAAAGCAAGGTGGACCCTGAATGAGATCCTTCTCTGTAAAAATAGAGCCAAAAGGAAATGAAAGGTGCAAAAGATACAAGATGAGCTCAGAGGACAGAAGGCACCTGTTTAAGAACTGCAGGTGTAGGAGAGGGCAGGAGGCAAACCGTACCGTGGCTCCAAAAGACAGCTGAGGAATCTGAAAAGCAGTTGGTCATCCTAGAGAAGCACATAAGAAAAGACAGAAAGTAAAGAAAATAGCCATCTTCGAAAATTAATTCTTAAATTATTTGTTTGACTTAATACAGAAGTAAACATTGTATTATTGTTCTTATTCCACTTATTAAAATTGTACTGATTGGCTCTTATACCAATAAAAATTTCCAAATAAAAAGTACTGTTTACATGTTTTAAAAATATTGAAAAAGTGCATGTGTTCAAGTCTAAAGGGAGGAAAAATGATCAGCAGCTGCACACAACTACTACTAAGAACTTCACCTTGAGCTCAGAGATGATTGACCGCAGCTCATCTGCAAAGTGCCACACCATGAGGTCAGCTTGTTTGCTGGGGTCGAGGCTCACAAGATCCTGGGATAAATTTTTACACACAGTCACAAACAGACCAAATCAACCAGAGGATATTTTAAAAACAAATATTCATTAGGGGATAAGTTTACTAATTTACAACATAACCAACCAGCTCAACAGTTTTCCTCTTATTTTGCCAAAACACAAAAAATATGATGAGTGACTCAGAAAAAGTGGGGGTACCAATACAAATAAATTAAATAAAATAACAAATAACTGCCTGAGATGTTAAAAATTATCAGATGGCTTTAAGTTTCACAGAATCATTAAAAATAGGAAAAACAATTGTGAACAAAATGATCATCTGATAGGCAGGTAGTGCTTCCCAAAGAAAGAGCAGAAGGACTAGGCCGGTGGAAGACATCTCTTTCCTGCCACAAGGTTTTTCATCCACTCATCCATGCAGGTCTTCAGATAGACTGCTGTGAATGAGGGGGAGCTGGACCTGGAGGAATACACATCTACTGTCCTTGGATCAAGAGTGTCGATGATGTTACCACCACCAGGACTGTGAAGAGCTACCCGAACCAGAAACCCTGGCTGAATGCAGAGGTGCGCACCCTGCTGAAAGCCAGGGACACTGCCTTCAGGTCATGGCAACTCACAGGAGCTGAGGACTAGGAAAGAGCTGGCTGCTAGTATTAAGAGGGCCAATGCCAAATATGCACAGAGGATCCAGGGTCAATTCACTTCACAAGATCCATGGAGCATGGGGAGGGGCATTAAGTGTATAACAGATTATAAAAGCAGGGGTGCACAATACCCTAGAGACCCATCATTGCCTGATGCCGTCAACAGGTTATATTCACGCTTTGAAGACCCGAACAGACCACCCAGCACCAGACTCCCTTCGCCACCAGCAGCGTGACCTCAGCTGAAGTAAGGAGTACCTTCAGGAGGATTAATCCTCACTAACAACTGGCCCAGACAACATACTGAATGTCAAGGTGCTGACACAGCAGCACATATCAACAATCAAGTGGCATTACAGTGATTTTTTTCACAGTAATTTTCACAGTGATAATCCTGACTAGGGATTCATGAGCCTAACAGACTCAAGGTAGAAGCTGTTCCTCAGTCTAGTGGTTCTACACTTAATGTTCCTCAACCTCCTGCCTGAGGGGAGTGGGGCAAAAAGTGTGTGTGCTGGGTGAGTGGGGTACTTCATAATGCAGGTGATCCACCTTTGATGGTGGGGAGATCGACTCCAACATCTTCTGTGCAGCCTTCAACACTCTCTGCAAAGCTTTTCTTTCTGCAGCTGTGCAGCCTCCATGCCACATGTTGAAGCTGGAGCACAGGATGCTCTCCACTGCACACCTGTAGAGGGAGGTGAGGACTGAGCTTCCCAGTCCAGCTCACCTCAGCTGCCTGAGGGTTAGGGTCAATTTATATTTTACTGTTGTTGGATGTAACTGGGACCTTGTGTACACAATTTCATTCCACCTCATGTACCGCATGTGGTGTGAATGACAATAAAGAACCTTGACTTGACTTTATCTATTTTCAGCTGCTTATCTGTGATTGGGTCATGGAAAAAATAGTTCCAGCAGGGAAACGTGGACATCCCTCTCCCCAGTGACGTTCTCCAGCTCCTCTTTGGAGATCCTAAGGTGTTTTGCATGCAAGAGAAGTTATATAACCCCTCAAGTGAGTTCTGGGTCTGCACTGGTCTTTTTCAAACCCTCTGAAGAAAGGAACCGAAGGTGTCCTAATCAAAATACCCGAAACACTTCAACTAACTCATTTAGATGAGAAGGAGCAGCTGTTTTTTTTTTGTTTGTTTGTTTTTCCTAGAATTGCGCCGCTCAAGGTGGCTGCATGTTGGAGCAGCTCTGTTACTTTCATTCTGAGATTTTGCTTTTGGAAACTTTAATTCCTCTTTTTCTGGATGTAAATCACATTTTTTGGATGATTGTTTCCTCTGGTATCAGATGCTGTGCAGCCGGAAGGATTTTCACTGAGATTTTTTTGGTTTTGGACATTTGTTATGATGCGTAACCATGGCAACAAGGCAGTTTTCTACAACAACAGCAGCTGATTAACATCTCAAAGCTCAAATAATTTCTCAACTATGGCCCCAACTCTCAAATGAGTTGAAAAGGATGTTATGTGGACGCATTCTCATCTACCTGCCAGCTGTGCTCGAGTGCCAGACCACTGAGATCCTGGAACTAGCAGGAAACACGGCTCATGACAGCGGAAAGACAGGATCGTCCCTCAGCACCTACAGTTGGCTGTCCACAGCTATGAGGAGCTCAGCAGACTGCTGGGAGGAGTGGCCATCGCTCTGGGAGGAATTCTGCCCAGCATTCGGGCAGTCCTACAGTCCAGGGGAACCAAGAGGCCAGCCGAGTCTGGGAGGACTGATCGGACGGCATCTGCAGCCAGTTTCTTAGGATCCACTGAGGAATGGACCTTTACAAGAGCCATCAGCATCTATAACATCTCTTAATGAAATGAGGATAACGAGTTACAACAACAAAATGATTTCCCTCTGGGATTAATAAAGTATTATTGAATTGAATTGAATTGAATTGTTTTACTTCATGCTTCCCTCACATGATGGAGTTCCTCAACTTATCTCTAAGTTTGAGCCTGCCTACCCTCTGGGGGATGTTCATTTCAGCCACTTGTATCTAATATTTTTTTCCAGGTATAGTCTACATGTCTTTACCATTGTTGAAGGTTGGAAAAGACCAATAAATCAGAAGATTTGCTTTTGGGCTCAGCTCTTTCTTAACCATCATGCACTGAAGGGTCTAGTTCACTGGTCAGTCTCCCACTCCATCCTATCATCATTCGTGAACAAGATTCTCAGAAACACAAACTCTTCTGTTTAAAGGGAAAAATAGCCCCTGATCCAAAGGAAGCAGTCCACCTTTTTCTGGTTGAGAGCAATGGCTTCAGATTTAGAGGAGCTGACTCTCATCTCAGCTGCTTCACACTTGGCTACAAACCACCCTACTAAACACTGAATGTCATGGTTTTAGGACGCCAACAGAAGCACATGATCTGCAAAAAGCAGAGGTGAGCCCCTGAGGTTCCTGAACACCCTCCTGTATCTAGAGATCCTGTCCATGAACACCACAAACAGGACTGGAGACAAAAGACAGCCCTGGTGAGGTCCAATCTGCACCAAGTCTGAGCTTTACTTTGTGCCGAGAAGATGGACACAGCTCTCACTTTGTATAAACAAGATCCAGACAGCACACTTATGTAGTTACTCAATTTTTCACGATTGTGACTGAAATAAGCAGCAAAAACTGGTCTTGTAGGTCTGTCTGCTGATGTACTAACCTGTGTATGTTGAAGAACTTTGCTCTTCACTTGTTGTTTTTCCTCAGAGGTGTAGCCGGGCAGGGACATTAGATTGTGTATGTAGCTGAAGACTTCCAACTAACACAAAGGGACAGAAAATATTACCACATGCTTTATTTATGTGGGAAAATATGATATCAAAATTACACATTTGTACTTGGAATATATTCACCAAATTTTCTGGTAAATCCAAATAGCACAATACCTTTCGAAGGGGGTCTCTTAAATAGCAGTCGATAATCCTGTCATACATATGTTTCTTCTCATAAAGAAATTCACAGATTTGGTAGCTGTAGATAGAGACCCAAAGACATGTAACTCAGGTAACATAACACAATAGAGTAAAAACAGTAACTTATGACTTATACACTGTACTACACTGCCTGGCCAACAAAAAAAAGTCACCACCAAAAGAAAAGGTCACGTTAATATTTCGTTGGACCGCCTTTAGTTTTGATTGTAGCATGCATTCGCTGTGGCATTGTTTCATTAAGCTTCTGCAATGTCACAAGATCTATTTCCATGCAGTGTTGCATTAATTTTTCACCAAGATCTTGCATTAATGATGGCGGATTCAGACCACTGCACAAACCTTCTCCAATACATCCCAAAGATTCTCAATGGGGTTAAGGTCTGGACCCTGTGGTGGCCAATCCATGTGTGAAAACGATGTCTCATGCTCCCAGAACCACTCTTTCACAATTCAAGCCCGATGAATCCTGGCATTGTCATCTTGGAATATACCCGTGCCATCAGGGAAGAAAAAATCCATTGATGGAATAACCTGGTCATTCAGTATATTTAGGTAGTCAGCTGACCTCATTCTTTGAGCACATACTGTTACTGAACCTAGACCTGACCAACTGCAACAGCCCCAGATCATAGCACTGCTCCCACTTGTACAGAAGGCCACATTTTCTTCCAGCCACATTTCTTCCTCGAAGACGATGGGTCCCCACTATCCTTCCAGTTTTTAATAATGCGTTGGACATTTCTTAACCCAATTTTAGTATCCTGATGCATGCTCAATTTTAGTAGTTTCTGCAATCTCCTTAGAAGTTTTCTCTGCTTGATGCCAATGATTTGACCCTTCTCAAACAGACTGACGTCTTTTCCACGACCACGCGATGTGTCTTTTGACATGTTTATTTAAGAAATGAGAAGCAACTCATTGCACCAGTTGGGGTTAAATAACTTGTTACCAGCTGAAAGATAATCGTCCATGCAGTAATTATACAATAGGAGGCTCATACCTATTTGCTTAGTTAAATCCAGGTGGTGACTTTTTTTTTTTTTTTTTTTTGGCCAGGCAGTGTATTATGACACGTTTTATATCTGTTCTCTTATGTGATAGATAAAAAAACAAAAATTTGTTATTTTAAACATTACATGAAAATCAAATAAAAAGCAGCACAATGAGGCTGACCACCAAATCATAGACTCCCTAATGATTCACTGGTTAATGTTAATAATATTAACACATTAAACAACAACAACAAAAATCAATGACTAAAGCTGAACCGTACAACTTTGTAAAAATAACTGGATGTAAGTAACCATTAGTCTTTCTTAATGGTGGCTGTCCTTTGGCTTGTTGAATAGTAATCCTATATTTTTCTGAGTTCATAAGCATTAACTTTTGTTTCTGCTTTATTCTTTTATATTGTATGTCTTCTACTTTCAAGCCATGATGTAAATGTAGCTATATTTTGAATTTCCTATCAGGAAGACAGCAGATCGTTTGGGTTGGTAGTAACATAATTTCATGCTCCATCATACTGAGCGTAGTGGTCCTTCAGGGATATGTGCTCAGTCCTTGCTCTTCACTCTGTTGGTGTCAAAAAAACTAAAGATCTGATTGTAATTTTAAAAAATACAGGTTGAATTGAGGTTGTGATTAAATGGATTGTACTTATATAGCGCTTTTTTATCTTATTGAGATACTCAAGCAACAAATCAATCTAAAGAGATTAATCATTAGAAATTACATTAGAAAAATATGAATACAATAAAGATATTTAGGTACAAAGTTAATGGTTACAGTGGTTATCCTGATGCATGCTCAATAATCCAGGAAGAAAAATCTAAAAAAAGTTAAATCTGGTCCTCTAGACATTCAAAAAAAAAAAAAAAAAAAGCAAAGCAAAACAACAACAACAACAAAAAAGTAGAAACGTTTTGTCTTTCATCCGAAAGACTTCCTCAGTCTGAGGTGCTGTATTCAGCTCAGTCTCTTAAATAGCACCTTCTCAGAGTGGATCAACCAGTTTTGCTACTGACAACCAAAACCAGCTGCTCACATGCTCAAGAAGGACCATCAGCCTAACAAAGGATCATTAGCACACTGATGGCTGTTTACTATTCACAGAGGGCTGAGTGATACTAGCAATCACAGCATTGTAAGAGGGGGACAGGTGAACCCGGAGGCCTCCACCCCTGTTTAATGATGGACGATATCTTTTCACAAAGATGGCCTCCTTTACTCCTTTCTCAAACCATCGTTCCTCTCTGTCCAGGATGTGAACATCTTCATCCCTGAAAGAGTGACCGCTGGCCTGGAGATGAGTGTAGACCGCAGAGTCCTGGCCTGATGATGTTGATCTTCTGTGCTGGTCCATCCTTTTGGCCAGTGGCTGTTTTGTTTCCCCGATGTAAGACTGATCACAGCCCTCCTGACACTGAACAGCATACACAACATTACTCTGTTTGTACCGGGGGACTGGATCTTTGGGATGAACCAGTCTTTGCCGTAATGTATTTTGGGGTTTAAAAGCCACCGGGACGTTATGTTTAGAAAATAAACATCTCAGTTTCTCTGATACTC